CTCGATAACTATAATAGATAGAATGAATCCAATATATGCATATGAAAACTGAATGTTTAGGGAATCCAGCAAGTATAGATACATTCCTGTGCTCTTATCCATATTGCTGTAATATTGGGAGGCGTAGTAACTTCAAGTTTGGAAACCACTGTTGCAGACAGCTGTGTCCGATGATGCGTGTTCAAAGAAATGTACAATTGAAATTCATATTGTACACTACACTTCTTCCGTTTGTCGCTGCATAGACTACAATACTGAATCTTACGGTTCTTCCGAGCACAAGCGGAAGTAGATGAATCACGTATGTGATGAATGTCCGCTTTCTTACTCCTTCATTATTTTCTAATTATCGCAATTCGAAATTAATTCATTCATTCATTCAAATCACTGACCTGAAGACGAAAGTGTGCTCCTCCTGCCGTCCAGCGTCATCATCCTCGACAACAACCAGCGTCAATTTCTTCTTTTTGAAGTTTAATTTTCCGATCTTCGGCCACGAGAAAAGTCCAATCTTCTGCCCGTTCTCGAACACCAGAATTCCCGTTGGTGTAAGACCCAATCTGTACTCCATGCCGTCTTTCGCCTGAAAAACACGTACATTACAAGAGCGTCGTGCGTTTTCCTTCCTTCCTTCGAGTTTATTTACAAGCACTATGTGCATATCGACACCGTACATCTCCATCCTCTTGATTTTGTTCAAGAAACCGAACTCTGCTTGAACGGGCGTCAAACCCCGCAACGTCTTGAACTCCTCCAAGATCTCGATTTCCATCTCTTCAGATTGATTGGGAACAAAACGAAATTCGGACACCGCAGCTGCTGTATGATGAGACTCATCATAATCTCCCCATTCCGCTACAAAATAAGATTATTTACATATAAAACCTCAGTCGAATCAACTCATAGTTAACAACTTACACTGCAAGGCAAGCGCTGCTAATTCTATATTGGTCTGATGAGGACAGTCCACGCGACCGTCGAGAATATCGTGCTTCAGTTGCAAGAAAAACTGATATCTCGTCAATTCCTCTCTCAAATTGTTTGGATCCGATAGGTAAAACTTGACTTTCAGCCTTAAGGTGTAAGGTGGACCGACTACGAAAAGGAATTAAAACGCTATTCTTAAACTGCGAAGATCTTAACTCACTTTTGATTTGCTTCTTGATGGATTTCGTCGGATCTAACCAATGCTTCACGTGATTAACGTCGGTGTACTGCAAACCAAAGTAGTCTTTCTCTATCAGGTCCAAGGAATAAAATACTTGCTCATACAAATCCCTGGCCTCTGCTTTTTTCTGCAAATTTAAACACCAGCAAAATAAGTCTGCACAAATCTAAACTTAATTTCTACTTCCTAATTGCAAAATCCAATTTTGCTGCAAATATGGACTATATTCATTGTAATTGTGATTAATTTAAAACTCTCTTTCTTTTATAGCTCTAATTCTAATGAAATATTAAAAATTTGTAAAGGATTGGAATCGAGTTCACATGGGATTTAAAAAGTGTGTCTTTCCCAAGGTATTTTCACCTATTGTTAGGAAAAGAAACTTATATAATAATTCCCATGAATTGCATTGCATTTGAATTGATGATGTAAATGTGAAAACATTTACAATGATTATGTGTTAATCATGATGCGAGTTTTCATTAAGATATTGGATTTAGTGTTGGTGATTGTAACCAGACACCCATGGAATTTGTTTTTTTCTGAGCACACCCACCCACATCAACAGATGATGGATGGATTTTATGCTTTGTTTTTTTTCTCTGTCTCTTGATCAGCAGATGAAAGATGCTTACAGAGAGTTCGACCGAGAGATCGGTGCCATCGAGTAAAACGACCCTGCACTGGACGAGATTCTTGTTCTGGACATGCTTGACCTTCTGGTGATGCTTGCTGCCAGTGTTTCCCTTCGGACCGTTATCTGCTGCACGAACCTTGCGACCGCTCAAGAACCGGAACATTTTTCACCAGGGTCGGCTTCAAGAATTGCGCGGCGCCATAGAAACAACCGCTTCTTCTCAATCAACTATTTATTATAAACACATCATTACATATTGCATAGACAAAGTAATTAGTAAATCGTTTTTTTTCGTTGCAAAAGTCTTCAATTTCGCTGATTCGGCTCAGTCCGGCCCTGTTTTCCGCACACCATTTAGCAACAAACAGAAGCAAACAATACTAAACAAATCAAATTCGAACACTTCGCACAAACAACCATGAGCAAACCCACTGCACGCACTGCACCACTGAAACCAACTGAAACCTTCCAGTTTGCTTCTCTTGTGCTCAGTAGTGTTGGTGTTGTTATCATGCGCTTGCGATGGCGCCACTTCTTTTACGGAGAAGAAGACAAAAAAAAACTTTCATTGTCAGATGTCGCTGTTTCTACCTGCACCATCATCATTTTTCTTCGAAATGGGACAGGTAGAAAGTGATAGATTTGAAATATACATCGTTGCAGCAGCAATCGAAAAGGAGGAGATGAAAAAAAGCTTACGTTTTATATTTATTTAGTAGAGAATATTATGATTTATACAATTATTTACTAAAGTTTCCGTATTTTTGCCAATCTTGCTAATAATGATTAATTATATAGGGAAGTTCGAAAACCTCTATCAAAATAATCAAATTTGCAAATCACATTTTCTTTGAATGTGAAAGTACCAGTGTTTCCACAAACGTGCTCATAAGTAGACGATTCACTCAGAAAATTCTCTATAGAAGTCCTCTTAAGGACAGCTTTGTTATCATAATCTTTTCAACACTTTTTTATTTACCTATCCAAGGCCTTCTTACACTGTGATAAGAGCTCGTGAAAACTTTATATAAATGTTGAATATTTTTTTCGTTGTCTGTATTTATTCACTGCTTTTCTATTCTGATTGATAATGATAATACCTTGGGTAAGACACACTTTTTAAATCCCATGTGAACTCAATTCTAATCCTTTACAAATTTTTAATATTTCATTAGAATTTAAAATTATAAAAGAAAAAGAGTTTTAAATTAATCACAATTACAATGAATATAGTCCATTGTTATGTATAACCGGTATTGTTTATATTATGTTAGCCCTTATTATTTTATACATGTTTATTTATGTAAGTCATTAAGACTTAGAACATATACCATTTAGGAAGATCCCATAACTAATCATTGTGTAACGACTGTTCTTAATCACCATGTTGTGAACAAACTCGAAGGTCCAATCTATAATGACCCTTTAATATGTACATCTGCCTAATGACTTACGAATTAGGGAAAGTACCTAGCTTTCCTATCTTTCCCTTCCAAATATTGTACTCCCACTATGTAAATTCCCTACTATAAAATAGGATGTTTATGTAATACAAAGTCAGTCTGGAAGAAAGTCTAAAAGTCAAAGAGTCTGAAGTCAGGCTGAGGGTAAGTCTTACCTAAGGGGCCGAATGGAGAAGTCAAGTCTAGGAGTTAATGTAACATTACTTGGAGAGTCCAGTGAAGAGCACTTGCTTCGTAAATCTAACTTAAGAGCAGAATGTAACTCTTAGTTAATAATACCTGAGATCAACTATTGTTTAGTTGACTTCTCAATAAAACTACGATGTATACAATAAAACTAAATTAAGAATATTGCATTTAATATTCATAAAACCCTCCAAGACTCCGCAACGACATAACTACGAGATAATCCACGGTGTCCAAGGATTTCTTAATCCCGGGACACGACACCATATTTGCAGCAAATTGGATTGTTTATTTTGCAATTAGGAAGTAGAAATCATTTGTGCAGACTTATTTTGCTGGTGTTTAAATTTGCAGAAAAAAGCAGAGGCCAGGGATTTGTATGAGCAAGTATTTTATTCCTTGGACCTGATAGAGAAAGACTACTTTGGTTTGCAGTACACCGACGTTAATCACGTGAAGCATTGGTTGATCCGACGAAATCCATCAAGAAGCAAATCAAAAGTGAGTTAAGATTTTCGCAGTTTAAGAATCGCGTTTTAATTCCTGTTCGTAGTCGGTCCACCTTACACCTTAAGGCTGAAAGTCAAGTTTTACCTATCGGATCCAAACAATTTGAGAGAGGAATTGACTAGATACCAGTTTTTCTTGCAACTGAAGCATGATATTCTCGACGGTCGCGTAGACTGTCCTCATCAGAGCAATATAGAATTAGCAGTTCTTGCCTTGCAGTGTAAGTTGTTAACTATAAGTTTTATGCTTAATATGATATTGACACTGTAAGTTGTACAACTCCACTCTATTATAGAGGGGTGGACTCAGAATAGAACACCTCCTACCGGGAGGAGGAGCCATTATACATTTAGCCACGCCCTAACAACGCTTATTGCCAATAACAAGCATATGTTATTTTAGATGTGTATTATTCTTTTCTTAGCTTTAACTTAGTTTTTATTTATGCAAAAAGTAATACAAAGAAGTTGCTTATGAACTAATAGAGAGAATATGTCGTGTCCCGGGATTCAAATGACTCTGGACACTGTGAAATATTCCTTAATTGTGTAGTTGTGAAGTCCTATAGGAGTTTTTAAGGAATGCTATAAGATTCACTATAAGATTATTAATAACTTCTATGTCTAGATTCCAATTGCTATGTTTGTTACTAGGGTTTTTATGAGTCTAACTTGGACTAGCTAAGACTGGGACTGTCCATGACTTGGACTCTTTAGGGTTCGTGGGCAGTTCTGGGAAGAAGGAACATGGGTTTAGGAAGGTGGTTCTGTCTGGGTCATCATCAAGAATTGCAATTTTGTCAATAATGAGCTTCCATCTGGAAATTCCTCTATAATTAACTGGGTCCTGGGTCGACGTCGTTTGCCAGTCACATATCGGTAGGATTATAACAGTCTACAACATTAAGAAATTGGTGTGTATCAGGTCGTGATCTCTGCAAAACCAGTAACTCGAAGAAATGATATCTTAGTTGGCCGATGTCCCCGATCACTTGATTCCTTTTAACAGTAGCGAATGCAGCCGATTGCAATAGGAAATAAGATGATTTTCGAATCGGTTAGCTTCGATTTGTAAAGTTAAATGTTTGCATAGTACAAAGGTTAAACATTGCGCGCGCGAAATTCCTCGTCAAAAAAAAATAAATAAAGTACGGTGCTGTACGAAACTGGGGTTTGTTGATAATCAGTTTCCAAAGAGATTCCCACTCTCAATGAGGTGAATATTTATAAAGAAATAGTGAATAAATGAAAGCTGTAAAAAAACTAAAGTAAATAGAAATAGGATTGTAAGAAGTCTTTGACGGAATTGACGTATTATTTGGAAAGGTGTATGGGATGTGAAAAGGTTAAGATTGTCGCGCGCGAATTTATTTGTTAGAATATTGGAGCGGTGATGGAACCTCGCAGCATTTTGAAGTTGGACGATAACGTGATCAACCGGATCGCGGCCGGAGAAATCCTCCAGAGGCCGGGAAACGCGTTGAAGGAAATGCTGGAAAACAGGTTCGTATGCAACCCGTAAATCATCTTTTAAATAACATCTGATTTCCGTTTTCAGCATTGACGCCAAAGCGACTAGGATCCAAATAACAGTGGTTAACGGTGGCATAAAGTTACTGCAGGTATAATTTGCAATTATTTAATGATTCATCTCAATAAATAAAAATTAGATACAGGATAATGGATGTGGCATTAGGAAGGAAGACTTTCCAATACTCTGTGAAAGATTCACCACCTCGAAATTACGCACCTACGATGATCTCTCCACCATGTCAACTTTTGGGTTTCGGGGTGAAGCTCTGGCCAGCATCAGCCATGTGGCCCATCTGACAATAACATCGAAAACATCAACAGAGCAGTGCGCTTACAAAGCAGCTTACTTGGATGGAGTACTTGTAGGTGATATCAAACCGATCGCTGGTAATCAAGGAACTCTAATCTCAGTAGAAGATATCTTCTATAATATGCCGTTGCGAAAGAACACCTTGAATAGTCCGCAGGCCGAGTACACGATAATCTCAGATTTGATTGGGAAATATTCTATAAACAATCCACAAGTTGGATTCAGTTTGAAGAAGCACGGCGAAAACAACAATATTGTGACGCAACCGAACTCGACATCAATCGACAATATAAGGATTCATTATGGAAACACAGTTGCCAAGTAGTTATTAATATCATCATTATTCTATGATCAATTAACTATTTTGTTCAAGGGAATTACTCGAATTCGAGATGGAAAATAGATCATTCAAGTTCAGTATAAAAGGACACATATCGAACGTGAATTATTCGGTGAAGAATATGGAATTCATTATTTTCATTAACGATCGTCTGGTGATGGTGCCCAATCTGAGGAAAAGCATCGACGACGTTTACAGCATGTATCTGCCTAAAAGTATGCATCCATTTCTGTATTTGAGCATGCAGGTGGAACCGAGGAATGTGGATGTTAACGTCCATCCGACGAAGCACGAGGTTCATCTACTGGACGAAGAGAAAATTGTTGAGATCGTTACGGAGGCGATCAGTGCCAAGCTTTTGGGATCGAATAATTCGCGCGTATTTTACGCACAGGTAAATTGATAATTTCGTATAAAGTTTTGTTTATTTTCTTTTGTAACGACAAGACTTTGCTGCCGGGTGCCTCAGTCGTCGAGAATAGTAACGGAAACAGTTCGATTAATAATACAACGGCGCACGATAAGACCATGGTACGCACGGATCATAAAGAACAAAAATTGGAAGCATTCTTCGGACCATCGACGAGCACTTCCGTTAATACGGCCAATCAGAGCGTCGCTGCAGCTGATAGTAACCAACCAGTGATGAGACAAGTGGCCCAGTATCGAGGGGAAGGTTTCATGAACTTGGTGTCGGCGCCGGGTCCAACCAGAAAGCTAGACGAAAACAGCCTGAGCAGTTTCAACAAGAGACTGTGCGTTCCTTAAAATAATCGTTCCTCATAATTAATCATGTACTTTTTTAGAATCCCGGACAATTTAATGAGCATAATCTTGCTGCAGACGGAGCTGGAGAATGTATGCGACGACGTTCTGCGCGAAGTCTTCGCTAATCATTTCTTCGTGGGCTGCATAAGTCCAAAACTGAGTCTGTTCCAGCACGGCAACAAACTGTTCCTGTGCAACACCGAGATGGTTATGCAGGAGCTGTGCTTCGAGTTCCTCATTTTTCACTTCCACAATTTCGACGTGTACAGGTTCGAAACGCCGCTCTCCATTTACGAATTGGCGATGATCGCACTGGATCTACCTGAAACGGGTTGGCACGAGATCGACGGTGAAAAAGCTGTGCTCGCTGAATCCGCTGTCTCGATATTGCAATCCAAAGCTAAAGTGTTGAGCGAATTCTTCGCGATGGAAATCGACGATTGCGGGAACCTGCTCACGATACCCATATTGATAGGTAATTAACGAAGAGATCTTGTCTTTCTTCTAACGTTTTTCCTCCAATTCGCAGATAAGTATCTGCCTAATCTATCCGGTCTGCCGATGCTGATACTGCGAATTGCGGCCGAAGTGGAATGGGACAAGGAGGAGGAATGCTTCGGAAACTTCGCTCGTGAGATGAGCAGGTTTTATGGGAAGATGTACCCGGACGAGAACTGGGAACACGTCCACACGCACATCCTTTATCCCGCCATCAAAGATTACTTCTGCCCATCGAATAAGTTCAGAGGTAACGGTTCCATTGTACAATTAGCCTGTCTTCCCTCGCTCTACAAAGTCTTCGAACGATGTTAAAAAAAAGAAAGTAAGCATTTTTGTTTCTAAGATCTTTATTCATTCTTTTTAACATTTTCATTTTGTATCAAATAAAATATTTATATAAAAAAAAATTAATGATTAAGTATATATATATGTAAATATATATCAAAAGGAGGAAAAAAACTTGATAAACATTCGCTTATTATATTATTTCAGTTATATGCAAATTCGATTAAATTTCGCAAGAATTCCTTTATATTTACAACAATTTCACTGTGCTTTGCAAATAGTTAACTTTTTTTTGTTCGATTGGTTCTCGAGTCACGAAACGAAATTGCAATAAAGCAAAGTATCAAATTTAAAACCTAACTAAAATTTTTGAAACAGTTCTAATTAGTCGCGTTCCTCGGCATAATTGATGGAAATTAGAAAATCATAACGAAGAACTACCTGTATACATACATATGTGCATATTCGGAGATTCGTATTGATATTGACTAGGATTTTCTTCAACAAATTGCATCTCTCTAGCAAATTTTTCGAATATCTTTCCTCGTCCAAATAATTACTACCACCTACACCAATACAATGAAATTGATTGTGTTAAATGTACATGTTTTATTTTATACGTCAGTCGTTTAAGTAAAATAATGTTTATACAGTAGGCCTCTCCCCATTTTTGCTAGGCGTTGCGTGTTTCTTCCAAATTTTTGAAAAAAAAAATTTGTAGACAAATTGCAGGTATATAAATATTTAAAAAAAAAAAGTAGATGTCTCGGTACTTGCAAGTAGTGACTTGTCGATTATCGAGTAATTGCATTAATAAAGGAATCGCGTATTTAGGAGGAGATTTTAGATATTTAAATGCGCGGAAGTATTAATTGTGAGAGGGCGGAGGAGCAGGATTTCCCATCACCAAAAATAAACCAAACAAAAAAAATTGAGTATTGCATTGAATCATTTTCCTAGTGAACACAAGAGGCAGAAACCTGCAGGCCGTTAAAAATATTCGTTATCGCTACTGTTGCCCTCGTCGTTGCACGTCTCCGCCACGTGATTGGTGCTTCTACCGTAATCAAAACCATCAGCTGTCTGCGGTGGATTTGAGTTTGGTACTGCAAACAGAAAGTAAAACACAGTAATTTTCTCGACTAAGGCTTTTCTTGTTTGTTTGTTTGATTGATTTTGTTAGGGGTTCATTTAGGATAACGAACATTTATTCTCGTCGCTTCTGCGCCCTCTGCGTTTCCCTTTACCACCAGAATCCCTCTTCGAAATCTCCTCTTCTTCTTCTTCCTCCCATATTCTAGAATCGCTGCAATCCTCCTCGGATCCGCTGCAATCGCCGATATTCTCAGCTGCCTTCGTCATCGGAACGTCTTCGTTAAAGTTCACCGTAAAGTATTCACACTTCTTCGCCTCCCGACTCTCACCGGCAGCATTTTGCGATACTTAACAGAATATACATATTATTGGTATCAAACACAATCCTTCAGTCTATTAAAAAGTAACGTAACAAGATCAGAATTCCAATATTAAATATATCGAACTGTGATCGTCAAGTCACTATATTATTTATAAATTGAATTTGTACCTTCATCGTTCGATACAATTCTAATTTCCTCCAGAGAACAATCTCTAAAAACCGGCGATTCTTGACTATCAATTGCACTATCATTATCCACTGTAGATTCTGTTTCAATTTCCAACTGAGAATTCGTTTCTTCTCTATTTTCATTTATATCCAGATTCGAAAAACTCTCAACGACTTCTTCCAATTTCACTTCATCACGCTGTATCTCCTCTCCTTCGTTCGTTATTTCCTCTTCACTTTTAATACTATCCAATTCGAGATCATTTTCTACATCCAATGCAATATCACTTATGCATTCATCAGTATCTTCTTTACTATTATCCGGATTCATTTCTTCTCCAACGAGCGTTGTTTCTTCTCTAACAGCGGATTCCTCTTCGAGGAAATGTTTTATGTTTTCATCGTCCGCTAGAACAGTAGTTGAAGATGTGTTATCATTTGATGCAGTTTCGCATTTGCTCTCCACATTTTCTATTTCAATTGGTGCAATGACAATACTTTCAGTCTTTATAGGAGATTTATCTTGATCGTGCGTTAACAAACCCAACTTCTTCATCAAGTAAAATCGACGACGAGAAGATTCTGAATCATCCTTAGATGTGTACCCATCAAAATCACCGTCTTCTTCGCATGGAAGCAATTAGATTTATGAAAAATGATTCGATCAAAGACGTATATGATTATATAATTTACCTTGAATGTGAACATTCGGCAACTGTGGTTTTTGCGTTATACTTTCCGAGCTCTTTTCCATCGCACCTTTCAGCTTGTTCTGCATTGCCTGTTGATGCAAGTAAATGCTGTTTATATCTTCGTATGTGACGTCGTATATTTTCGTCAGGGCTTCCATTTTCTTAGCGACGTTCTTGTAACCGGTTATCAATTTGTTGACGGCTGTCTTTTCGATGCTGTCGCGTTCGCCTTTTGGAGCCAAGGCAATTTCCGAAAAAGATCTGTGCAAACCTAAACCGTAGTTAGGCTGTCGCCGTGGTCTTTCGTGAACAGAGTTATCGTAGTTTTCGATGAGGACAAGGTTTCCGCCCGTCGAGTATTTCCTCCTGTGCGCCAGACAAGGTGCACTGACGTTTTGGCTCGGCCTCAAACGGCTGCGCGATTTGCGGGACGCGACGTTCGGATCTCGGAAAATAACGTCGAGCAATTCCCGAGGATCTCGCATTATAGACATTTTCGTCTGCATCTGCGCGTTTTGTGTGCGTTTTTCAGGGATGGAAACTATAGGAATAGATTGAGGGTTGAAGGTTGTAGGTTGTTCGGGTTTCCTAATAGATATAGGGATATGTTAAATTACCTTTGATGATGGAATGGTTAGGTTGGTTGGCCAAAATGATGGCTAGGCATTTGGCCACGCACGCGTTCGGAGCGCAACACAGGGCCGGAGTCAAACCCTCGGAGTCCACGGCCAGCACAGACGATCCCTTCACGATCAGCTCGTTTGTAACTGGAATTAAACCGTTGCGAGCAGCAAGATGAAGCGGAGTCTTCAGATCCTTATTCGTCATGTTCACAATCTCCACATCGGATATGTGATTCAGAAGGAGGAACGCTGCATCGCAGTGATGTTTCAAACATGCCGAATGCAACGCCGTATTTCCATTACTGTCGCATTGCTTAAAATCAGGATTATAAGTAATCAAAAGTTCTGAAAGAAAAATATAAATTATCTTCACAAACAAACGAAATTACTTATACATTACCAATTACTTCGCTTTGACCGTATTGAGAGGCGGCAATCAATGGAGTACGTCCATTTTCGTCTTTCTCGTCGATTTCAGCTCCTTGTTCCAGCAAATATCTAGCACAATCGGAATGCCCGTTCAGCGCAGCAATATGCAACGGAGTCCTTTGCCTTGCGTCCTTCAGATTAACAATATCCTTTCCGAATTTCTTATACAAAATCTCCAAGCAACGCTCGGACCCGGCAAAAGTTGCGCAATGTGCTGGCGAAAAGATGTTTCCATCCACGGATTTGAAAACGCCGCGCTGCAGTAAATACTCCACGCAACTGGCATTCCCTGAAAAAAAAAAACAAACAAATCAGTGAAATGCAATATATTGATAAGATGTTTATAAACGTACCGTAATAGCAGGCCCAGTGCAAAGCGCTGAATTTGTGATTGTCAAAAAGTGCAGCCTCGTGTGGTTGAATGTGATAAAGAATTGTCTGAAGGCACGAGAAATTTCCACAAGCTGCCGCCAAATGTACGACCGTTTTACCGTTGATGTCTGGGGTTAAAATCGTTGCCCCGTTGGTGATCAATAATTGCGCAACGGAATTCTGATTGGTTACGATCTAATAAGAAATAACATTTAATTTGATATTAAATTAACTAACATGAAAACTTACCGCTCGGAATAGAGATGAATGTTTATCCGAATCTACGATATTTGGATCCGATTTGGACTTCAGTAAAGTTAAGACACAATCTGTGTAGGAACTGGAAACCGCTAACATTAAGGCCGTTCTGTTGAAACTGAAAATAATAGAATTATAACATTATTAGAATCCAGTAGAATAATTTCTGTCTATTGGATCTAGTATACTCACATGTCCGGTTTATCTATAATGGATGAATCCTCGGTGTTATCCACGAGGAGAGCAAGGCAGTGATTGTGACCATTTTTGGCAGCGTAATGGACGGGACTCATACCATAAACATCTTCGCAAATTGCAACCTTGGCGCCGTATCTTAATAACATTTGGACGCATTCCGCGTTTCCTTCACGAGCAGCAATCAATAGAGGCGTACAGCCAGTAGCGTTTTTTATATTCGTGTCGGGAAAGTAGGACATGATGGAACTCATGATATTGGAATCCCTTCTACGAGCCTGAACAACAATTAAAGTATACATTAAAATTTTATAAAATACAATCTGAACACAATACTTACAGCGAAATGTAACAGGGTGTTTGGTGGCATGTCTGGACCATGGAATTGATACATTTTGCCTAGTGCTTCGAGAAGATTGTGCAAAGCATGCTCGTTGCAACCGTTAACAGCGTAATGAACAGCCGTAAAACCTCTATTATCCCTCAATTTCGGATCAGATTTGTGCTGCAGCAAGTATTGAACGCATCTACCCTCCAAATCGTAGGCAGCAGCAAGATGTAAAGCGGTACATCCTTCAGAATCGTGTACATTAACAGGAGCTCCAATTCCGACTAACGTAAAGACACAATTATAATGACCCCTGGCGGCTGCGTTGTGCAAAGCTGTGCGTCCAAAACTATCTTGCAACTTGAAATTCGCACCTTCGCTGACCAACAAATCCAGGCACTCTACCGAACTAGTGAAATGAGATATAAATGAAAGTGATTACGTTTTCAAGTATAATGTGGATGTATTTACCCATTATAAGCAGCGTAATGCGTGGGTGTTTTCCCGGTGTTATCTTGCGTGTTCAAGTCCACCTTGGCTTGGATAAACTTGCGAGCCACCTCGACAAATCCCGAAAGGCAACATAGATGCAACGGCGTTCGTCCCTCGTACCTAGATGTTATTAATTTCAATCAATATATCGATGTTAAAGGAATTTTTAAAGAAACTTACCCACGTTTATTGGGATCTGCTCCGTAATCCAATAGAGTTGCGGTGAGAATATCGTGACCATTTTGAGCAGCAATGTGAAGCGCCGTATTACCGTTCTTATCCTCCACGTCGATCACAGCACCATGGTCGATCAAGGTTTTGCTTCTCGTGAATCTACCATGGATCGCAGTCATGTGCAGAGGCGTTCGACCGTCGAGGCTCTGCTTGTTCACGTCTACATGATTCTCGAGCAGAAAGCTCATGCACGCTATTCCATCGGTGCTAGCGGCCGCAATGTGCAGAGGTGTTTGCCCTCGATAGTTCACAGCTTCCAAATTTGCATTCGCCGTAAGGAGAACATCGCAAACAGAGATATGCCCGTTCAGACAGGCTATGTGCAGCGGGGTGTTACCAAACACGTTCGCTGAATCTACATTAGCGCCCGAGTTTATCAGCAGGTGGCAAGCATATACCATACCTAAGAATTAAACGGCATCAGTTAAATTCGCATCTAACAAGAATTAACTTACCGCTAGCAGCAGCTACATGCAACGGGGTGTACTGATTCCTATCGTAAACGTTTATATCAGCTCCGTTTTTGATCAAAAGCTCCATCGTGCCCACATGTCCTAAATGCGCTGCCCAATGAATAGGCATGCAGTCCTTTTTATCACAAGCATTCACTATACACCCTTTCGAGATCAACAGCTCCACTACATCATTGTGACCATTGAGTGCTGCATGATGCAGCGCAGTTCTTCCTGATCTATCCGTGACATTGATGCTACTAATGCACCCGAGCAGATGAGATACACACTCAACAGCGTTATTTGCAGCAGCTATATGCAGAGGCGTCTGCCATTGCCTGTCCCTAGCCGATGTGTCAGCATCATGTTTCAGTAACAAAGAAACAGTATCCTAAAATCATTTGCAAAAATTACAATTTCATAATGATTTTTCTTCAATCCTCACATCAGCACTGACTCCGCACGCTCTATGCAGAGGGGTCAACCACCGGCTATCTTTAGTGTTGACCCTGGCTCCTTGTTCCAATAATAATTCAGCCAATTCAGTGTCACCTTTGTATGCAGCCGCATGCAGAGGACTCCTCTTTTCAGCATCTAAATATAAATCAGGATCAAGTCAAGTTGAAGATCAAAACAATTGAATAAATACCCTGGTAATTGACGTCCACCTTTCCATCCAGCAGATTCTTCACATCATCAATTTCCCCTGAGAAGATTGCTTGGATCAGGGGAGGCTGCAATTGAAAACAACCCAATTAAATATTAACAATAACAATGGGGGTGGCTCTTCTTTCTCTTCCGAGATGACATTTAACCTAAAATTAATCGCGAAGATTATTATCATTATTATTATTACCTGCTCTTCCAATTTTAACATAACCATTTTTCACTTTGTTGGAGAACTGCGATGAGAGGAGGCATCTAAAGTGGTGCTGGCGACGACTGCAACAACGAACCTCGGATTCGGAACGAAACCAAAATCACATTTTACCCCTAACGTGAAAATAAATCAAAACGCCAAATTGGAAACGTAAACAAAATTTCGGCCGTGCTGAAAAAACAAAATCAACAATCGAAAACATTCGGCCAAAAAAAAAGGAGATTCCGTTGACAGGTGGCTGCATGTCAAATGTTCACTTGGAACCGACTTCATTCGTATTAAAAGAAAGTAGTTCAAATTTAGTTTCACATATTTCTATTACTAATTAGAATTTAGCATTATTTATTACGAAAAGTTTCATTTATTTATTTAAATTATCAACAAAAATAATCCATATATATATATATATAAAAATCCCGACTATACCAAAATCTCGAATATATCTACAATAACATTTTTAAAATTAAACAAATGCTCGAAAAAGCAGTGTTTTCACATTTCATCGATTTTCTCGACAACTGTAATACATAGAATGAAT